TAAGCAAAGATACAGACAGCAAAAATAGAAGGGCTAACAGAAACCCACTCTATCCAAAACTGAAACAATCGCCTTTGCACACATTTAAAATTTTGACTTGTCACTTGTGTCGAGCATTATTGAGCTATTCTTGTTCTGTTTTATAATTAACCTTCATTGAAACTTGTTAAGTGAGCGAGTAGTGAGTAATAGGTGAATACTGGAATGCGAAGGTAAGGAGTTCTTTGTGTAGAAACTGCTGTGTTGGGAAAAGATACTGATCACAGCAAATGTGTCACTCAAGGCACAGCAGCAGACCTTGTGATATTGCTTTCTATACACTACCCTCTCTATTCCTCACACTTTAATTACAAAGCTCAGCTTATAATGCTTACAGGAGCTCTGCCTGTCTTCTGCAATCATAATGGAAATATATGGAAATAGCTCTTGTCTGTAGAATTGGCCCTGCAGTTCATATTCTGTAGAGCGATCTGCAGTTCTTCCTATAGTACGTTGATTTTAAAACCACTAAGTATACCAAATTCATACTTTTTAATTATTCATGTGAAATATTTGACAACCTTATAAACTGTTTCTGCCTACACTGGTTACTAGAGAATTCTCTCTGACAGCTTAGGTCATATAGTGGAGTAAAAGCTCCCACTGTTAGTTTTTTTTTCTTTCTTTTTTTTTTCTTGTTAACCTGTTATAAAGGGAGTATCTGTGCCCACAGACCGGAAGAAAACAATGTTTTGTACATTTATATTACAGAGCAATGAAGACTACTTCCTTTTTTCACAAAAATGGGTATCGCTCTTCTAAAATACAGTTGTTGTTAAACCATACGACTGTTTTTGATAGTGTGCTTATTGGGAGTTTATTGCAATATCATCCGGGACTGTAAAGATAATATTGCGGAAGGATGATCTTGAAAGCTCAGAGTAATTATTCTTTGAATAGCCTCCAGTTATCCAATGTGCTCGCTTGATCCTGCAATGTGGAGAAGTAGCGGCTGCGAGGAAAAGGATAACTGTTTTGTTAAAGTGTTTGTGCAGTGAAAGTGGCAGGCATTTCACTGAATAGAAGGTTGGTGATTTATAGCGCTCCGAGCAGATGAAGCCAATCGGTTAGGAACAGAAAATCCTTTGTAAGCAAGGATCAGAGCTGTTTGCAGGTGTTCGCTCAATGCATCCTTTTGTTTTTCATCCTCCTACTTCGAGCGTTTCTGCACGCCCATGCTATGACAGGGCTAGAGAAACATTTGTGTTATGCTTCAAGTCTGTACTGGACTAGTTGAAAATCACTCAATAAAAAGCCTTTTTTAAAATAAGAAAATATAAAGTAGATTTCATATTATGGGAGACACTGCCAGTGAATATTGAACACCTGCTAGGCAATGAGTGGTATAGAAGATTAAATGGCTAGGACTAGAATACTGCATCAGAGAAACTTAATCTTCATAAAATCACACCTTAAAGCCGTGATCTACTGTTTGAAAACAAATAGTAATGCCGGAAAACCTTTCTGGTAGGAGAGGTCTTTTTTATTTGACTTCTCTAAAGACCATGTAACTGCAACATAGACTTCAGTGAAAATACATTTGTATCCTTAGATAAGTAAACGTCTAGACAAGTATAACATTATAAGCATTTAAAACATGTATCTGCTTGTTTGTGCTAAGAATAGTTGTATTCTTTCTAATAGTCCTATATTTAATTGTTCATCAAGGATTGCAGTGATATACCATGTCTACTAGAGCAGTGGTTCGTAACCTCAGGACCCACATTTGTTCTTGGTCATTAAGTCGCGACCCAAGTCGCACTGCAATGGAACGCACGGCATTAGGGTACCACACGTTCTGGTGCAGGCGTACGAACTGTGGGTGGGAAGTGCGTTTGGGGTACTATTCAAATGAATGGCAATGCAACACACTTCCCACACCAGAATGCACAGCCGGTGCGATTACGTGGTACAGTGCGTTAATCACACGGTACTATGTAATTAAGGCAATGTACTAGTGTGAATGGGCCCTTAAAAACACTGACGTACATGCACAACCACAGACACAATCTCAAACACTCAGACATTCTCACAGACACGCATACACACTCCAGAAATGTTTTATTTTTTATTTTTTTAAAGGTCCACCCAGTCTCCCAACCTTAACAGAACTGGAGTGGATCCTCGGCCTGGGGTCCCGTGTGGGCTGCTGTGCACCACCCATATGTGCATTGCTTGTATAGCTCCCTTGCGCACCCTGTAGAGTATGTGATGTCACTCTGGTTCAGGCACCTCCTATAGGACACGTCAGGGAGCTGTAAGCAATGCACACATGAATGACGCTTCGTCGCATTCATTGCCCCATCCCATCTCAAGCTGACACTTAGTGCCAGGCAGCATATTGTGAATGGCAGCTTGGCACAAGAGCTGACAGTGCTGTGCTAGTGGGAGGCAGAGGAGCCTATCGCATAGAAAAGTGGAAGGCATGCAGTCATCCACTGAACACCGGGGTCGTGACCCACTTTTGGGTCCACGACCCACCAGTTGAGAACCAAGGTACTAGAGGGCATTCCTACAAACATGTATATTAAATATTCTTCAAATATGCCACAACAAATCTTGATAATTGCAAAAAAAATGCATTCGATTCAAACTTCCCAAGAAGTCCTAATCGGTGCACCCTAAACATAGGATTGAACTTTAGTTTTCTCTGTTTTCACATATTCATCAGCATGCCAGATTTCAACACTATTATATAGGGCTGCAATCACTGACCCTTTGAACTACAATTTTTCTTATGTAATACAGAGTTTCGGCTAGAGCCTTTCGTTGGCCAGTCTATGTAGAAAGCAGGTTAAAGACTAATGTATCGAAGGCAGCCGATTTGTAAAGTTATTTGAATAGCTGAGTTTGAGTCAGTAAATAATGCTCAGCAATTCAATTCTAGGAAAACTAAAGTTGCAGTTCACAAACATAGATGGGAATTTTTTTTTTTACATGCCAAAAGATTTGTTCTTCCATGTACCCAGTTTTGTCTAGATACCTCTGCCAGACAGCATGGCCAGATTTTTGACCTTCTTTGCAGCAATGTGACTACTTGGTGAAAAATACAAAAGCAAAATGTTTCCCAGCACACTTACCAGCTAGCCTGCAAAGAAAATTGCACAGTGTAACTTCACGGGTTAAAAACTGAGGTTTTAGTTGTTCCTGTGCCTTTAGGGCCCGTTCACACCATCTCCAGTGCGTTCCGGCACATTTAGTGGCCAGAACACACTGGGTCACTTTCTGGGGTGGGAGGGGGAGGGGCAGTGTCATTAAAGTCAATGGCAACCCAGACATGCCCGTACCAGAACGCATGGTACAGCAATGTCCATGTTATGGTCCGGTGTGATCGCCGGATGTGCTAGGAAACCTTTTGCACTTGTATTGTGTAAAGCCTTTCCATGTGCACCTTACTTAACCCACTTAAACCACCAAAAGAAAGCTCTGTGTCCCCCAAAAAATGATATAAAATGAATTTCAGTTCAGCATTGCATGACGGAATGTCAGTCAAATTACTGCACCGCTGAATACTGAAAAATGGCCTGGACAGGAGGGGGTGTAAACATCCTGGTCTACAAGTGGTTAAAGCTAGTTATGAATTGATGAGTGCGTTTGCCATTTGTATTGCTTGCTTGGTGAAGAACACACGCCATTCTGTTGATAGGTCATTGAAGCGAGCTGTATCACAATAATAAAGACATCCCTCTTCTTCCTTGAGTAGATGAGTTTGTGTTTTCTATTTGGAGCATATCTTTAAAGCAGACCTTTTACCCATATCTTGAAAATAACACACCCCTTCAGAAATGTTTAGTAATGACGATCTACAAACAACATATATAGATAATTGCCGGCTTTGTATTCTTTGCATACCTTATTTCTCTTTTCTTCCCCAGTCTTCTGACTGTGGCCATGTTAACTAAGGGCAGATTACTAGCTCTCCTATTACTTCCTGGATTTCTGGCACATGTGACTAGGACATGTGACCATGTACATCATCTCAGGGGAGGGAAATGCCTTTCCCTGAGATCTCCTGAGATTACAGATGAGATTTCCCAGCAATGCTCCGCTGCTAAGGAAATCCCAGTGTGCATTGCAATGGCAAACTGAAGTCATTTTGCCTTTCAAAGCAGGAAGTGAATGCTCTGCAAGTATACGTTTGATCAAAATCACAGAATTTTACACCTGACATGTCTGTTATTAGTCATCATACATAGAGGAATGTATTGGTAGAATTTGATTTGAGTGTAAAGGTCTGCTTTAATGCCCAGAAACCTGGAATATGAAAACCTTATCATACATTCACTGTCATTGTTTAGCTACATGTCTGTGAAGATTCTCTTTTATTCAGATCATGATATATGTAGTAGCAATTGGTCACCTTCAACTGGATTTGCTCTGTAATGTTGAGCACATTTCATAATGTTGCCAAGCCATTTCTTCAGTTCTAATGCATGTCAGGAAGATTTGTCCAAGTAATGTGTAGATGTCCTGTTCCTGGACAAGCAATATTGACACATTCAAGGTCATTGGATTAGGGGTCTGTGCTACTTGTGTCGATATAAATGCTAGAGTATCTTCCTGACACTCATTAGAACTGAAGTGGCTTGGAGAAGCTACGAAACGTCTTTTAACATTACAAAGTCCATTTGAATGTGCTACTGCTAGGACCTGCTCTATCCAAAGAAAGGCAAAGCAGGACAAATGCAGCCTCAGTAGTGAGTTTAATGTGTGTTCAGTAACCTTCAAGGGTATTTTATAAAATTGCTGCTAGGACCTTCCTGGTGGCCGAACTGATGGCTGTGTTACTATCAATATAGCTCTAGGGATCATTTGACCTTGAAGTTCTTGCTGGAGAGACACACAAAACTCTGTTGGAAAGCTTTTTTAACACGCCCTACTGCAAGGCTTAGATGTCTGTTTAGCTTTAAAGTGTTTGTTTGCAAATGACCTTGTTTTTTTTTTTATATATATATATATAGTTGGTTTTTGCCTTTGTAAATGAAGAGAGATTTCCCACCAATGGATGGAGTGTGTATGATCCTATTACGGAGTTCCAGAGACAGGTATGGAACTCTTGCTTTTGATGAAAGACACACATTACATGTCCATTACATTGTGATTTATACTATGTCTTCTGTCTGGTAAGTTTGTCTGACACGAACACTAAAGACTACATTTTGGGTGGTAAAATTAAGAAATATGTTGAATTAAAGGATTAAGAGTAAATATGACCAAAGATACCAGCAAGGTTAGATGTTGTCAGTTGGGCACTTATTTCCTTTTTGCTATAATGTTCAATTCCTGATGACTCTCCATGACCTTTTTAAAGTGTGTTTTTCTACTTTTGCAGTTGAATTTGAGAAATCCCCGCTATATGTTTGTTCTATGTTCCCATGCACACAGCATACCAAAAAAATATATTAAAATATTTCTTGGCTTTTTAGATATTTCTTTGCTGAAGGCCTTTTGCACAGATTTCAGGCTACTTTGAGCAGTTTGAAAGTGATAGTAGAAGGACAAACAGACTGGCAGACTGAGCTTCTTCTTGTTACTATACAATGCTTCTAAAGCTGGCAATGTACTGGTAGATTTTTTTTTATACTAACACTTGTATGAAAAATCTCATCAGCATATTCGATGATGCCATCAGAGACTTGATGAATATTGCTTAAATTATTATTTTTTGCCACTATGGAGATAATTGATTGTCAGGTTGACCCCTAAAAACTATTAGAAAATCAAATGTTCTTCCTAAAACAATTTTTTTTTTGCACAGAAGTCTAAACTATGTATACCCACTTTAAAGTGCAGTTCCACTTTTGCGGTCACATTTGAGAACCCCTCTAGATGTTTGTGTGCTCGTTCACATAGCTCACCTACAAAAACCTTTTTTTTAGCTGTCTGTTTGGTTTCTTTAGCCATTTCTTTTGGTGAAGGCCTTTGTGCAGATTCTAGGCTACTCTGAGCAGTTTGAAAGTTAAACTATAGAGTCAGACAGAGGGGACAGACTGTGCTTCCTCTCATTAACATACCTCTGCTTTGGAATAGATTACTATCCCTGTACGCAGGAATGATTGTGTCCAGGAACAGTGATTTATTCCTAACCGCATGTAATCATATCAGATACGATTACATGCAGACTTCCGCTTACAGATATAGCTTCTGTCACCAAGTCATTCATTTGAATGTGTACAGCAGCTAAATTGGACATTTTGGGATTCCTGCCACAGGAGTCCATAGGTTCCTGCAGTCATCCTTAATTGCATAGTGTGAATGAAGCCTTTTATTTAGTTGCCTACACAGCTTAGCATTTTAAACTACACCAATTAGCCATAACGTTATGCTCACCCTCCTAATACGGAGTAGGTCCCCCTTTTGCTGCTCAAACAGTCCTGGCCTGTTGAGGCATGGACTCCACTGGACCTTTGAAGGTATGCTGTGATATCTGCCACCAAGCCATCAGTAGCTTATCATTTTAAGTCCTGTAAGTTGCGGGGCCTCCATGGATTGGACTTGTTTTTCCAACACATCCCACAGATGCTCAATTGGAATGAGATCTGGAGAATTTGGAGGCCAAGTCAACACCTCAAACTCATTGTTGCGTTCCTTAAACCATCAATTATGTTTCTCAAACCCAGAGTGCATCAATGATCCTTAGCTGCCCATGACCCTGTTGCAGGTTCACCGGTTTCCTTCCTTGGACCATGTTTCGTAGGTCCGGACTGGGAACATCCCACAAAAGCTGCAGTTTTGGAGTTGCTCTGACCCAACCGTCTAGCCATCACAATTTGGCCCTTGTCAAAGTCGCTCAAATCCTTGCACTTGCCCAACTTCAGGGTTAAAATATTACCTTGCAGTCTAATATATCCCACCTACTTCCAAGTGCCATTGTAACAAGATAGTCAATGTTATTCACTTCACCTCTCAGTGGTCATAATGTTATAGCTGATTGGTATATATTAAAACAAAACACATTTTCTGTTAGGATTTGGGTTGTCCTTTAATGTTGGAGCCCAACCTTTGGGGTTCCGTACACTGAAATCTGATGTGGATCTTTAACTTTTATTTAAAACTGTACCTAAACATTAAGTGCGGGCATTTTATTTTATTTGTTATAGAATTTTGTAGTCCTTAAAACTAGACAAACACAGGACACAGAAATATTGAAATATACAGAAGATTTAAATAGGCCAGCAAAAGCTGAAATGTGCTGTCACAGATATACTGGCATTGGTTGGTCTGTCCCTGCTCAGCTCCGGTCTAGGAATAAGTACTCTTAAGAGATTTTGCTCTGCCTTCACACCACAGTTTTGGTTAAAGCTGCTCTTGGACATCACATTTCATCTACTTTTATGCTGTTTATCGTGAAAGCACATGAAAAATTATATAAACTGGCATAAATACATTGCAATCTTTATACTGAGATCTGAGATTGTTTGGAATGCAGCCAAATACCAGCTTTTGTCGAATCAACTGAAAAATCAGTGTGTGCTTGCCCAGTGTGACAGCTGTCATGTGTTACACAGCCGGTGGCATTTGTCTATTGAATGGTATAGGAACAGTTTACATGTACTGTAAGGGGTACATGGTGAATCAAATGTAAAGAACGGTGGACACATTCTGAAGAGTACCTTTTAACCTAGGCTATTCCAGTGCTGCCATCACATAGCCTGTGAATTAATACTTATACTTACGTTTCTTTATGGGGCTCGTGATTTTCATTTCATCAGTGTCAGCCTGATGTGCAAAGCACTAAGTAGTTTGTGTTATTTTATGAAAACTTCCATGTGGTAAGAGCGGGCCTTCTGGGCTTCATGCCCAGGTTGAGTCAGCCTGTTAGCAAGACAGCTGCCAGCTGAATGGCCACTCCGCCCTCCTTACAGTTCCAATCGTTATATCATTAAATAGATTACAGCCATTTTGTGTCTGTACATTTCCACTTAGGGCTGAGGTAGACCTCCAGATTTGCATCACACGATGGACTCTGCTGCTCATCAGCACTAGCACAGATCATCATATTAAATATTGTGTCTGCTATTTACATATTTTGTTTCTTTTTACCATACATTGTTTGGAGAGTCCTCAGTACGAATGCCCTGGCAATTATAAGATTTGATCACCACCTTGTGGTTGTTGGATCAAAGTACAGCAAGAAAAGATAAAACAAACACAATGCAGGAAGTAGGCTGAACATGAGTTTATTTCTTTTACCAAGGGCTTGCCAAATAATAACTGGAGATTAGCCTTCATTAATGACAATTTTGAATTCTGTGATACCTACCCTCGATATTTGATGGTCCCATTTCATGCCACAGACGACGATCTCAAAAAGGTTGCCACATTCCGGTCAAGGAACAGGATTCCGGTATGTAGTTTTCTGTTGGTTTGAATCTGCAATTCTTAGTGTGTGTTTTTTTGCTGCAGCTGTTTTTTTACTTCTGTTTCTACAGAAACGGATAGAATATTCTCATATATATATATATTTATATATAATTTACATTAAAGATAAACATTTTAGAATTTATTTGTCATTAACATGACATGTATCATTTGTATCCTTGGAAATATTGGGGCTTGTTGTCCAGCAGAACTTCTACTATACAAGTGTCATGGGAAGGAAAAATGCAATAGTCAGATTTAGAAATTATATTGTATGACCTAAATGAATTATTACTTGGCCTGTGTAAAGTAGCTTTTGACTTGTTGGAGATTTCATTCAGAACATATTTACAAGCATCAGTGAAGCTAGGAGGGATTTGGAAAAATAGTTGTATGTGTGCATGTGTCCTTCACCCCAGAATGAACATTAAACGGGCATGTAATAGATGTACCTTGAGAAATGCAAAGCATCATGTTAAACTTCTGTTTGCGCTCTGGTTGCCCATCATACACCAATGGAGAGTGTCGGCCTTTTACCAGTGACACCATGCAACTCATGGTGTCACTCAGCCCCTCTGTGCTGTCTACAGCTTTGTCCGCACCAGGGCACAGAGGAAGTGTCTCCCTGTCGGCCATTATAAGAAGTAGATAGCATGGGGTGGGCTGAGTAACACCACGGGTTTCATGGTGTCGCTGGTAATATCTGGCAGTTTATACAAAGCTAATTGCTGAACAACCAGAGCGTGAACAGAATTCAAACATGGTGCTCTGCATTTATCAAGGTACACGTGTTGTATGACTGATGCTCATAGGGTAATTCTAGGGTGAACATCCACTTTAAGGGGATTATAATACTCTGTGGAGTATCTTGGACCACTAACAAACTTGCAAATTTGGAGTCTAACCAAATAAATTTGATTGTGAAGTCTTTGATGGAAGTTTTGTGTCTTGAGAAAATAGGGAGCTGTGCTAAAAAATAGTGGTTTTCCAGGTTCCCTGGAATCCTCCTTAAGGAACAGTATGTGACGTGTATTAAATACATTTTTGTACCCCCCCTTTTTTTTAAATAAGTCAGCCAAGACCTAGTTGACACATTTAAGTCTCGCCTGCTTTCTTGTACAGGTTTTGTCCTGGGTACATCCAGAAAACCAGTCTGTCATCATGAGATGTAGCCAGCCGCTTGTGGGCATGAGTGGCAAACGGAATAAAGATGATGAGCGGTACTTGGAAATTATTAAAGAGGCAAATGGCCAGCCATCCAAACTGACAATCTATGATGCCAGGCCAAATGTTAATGCTGTGGCCAACAAGGTAAAGAGTTTCTGAGCTGGCAGCTTGCTCAGGATGCTATCACAATTTGTTATTGCCATGTTCTCACTATATAGCCTTAAGAGAGGCATGTATCGCAGCCTACGGAATAAATGTCAAAGTACCGCAGCGCTGAATACTGAAAAATGGCCTGGATGGGAAGGGGGTTTAACACCGCGGATGTCAACTGGTTAATTATTTGCGTAAAACTTTTTTAGCATTCTACATGTGTGATGTTACAAAAATGAAATGTTGCCATTATTCTGATATACACACGATCCATGGTAAACAAATCCAGGTAACCAGTATACCTAAAAAGTTTCATCCAGTGGCAAATTTCCTGGGTTGTTTCTGTAACATATAAGCAGTTGTCTCCTTGAAAAGTACCTATGTGTACACCCCTAAAAGAGACATGAGCTTTGTTTTAAAGTGAACCTCCGACTTTCCCTATACAGGGCAACCGTAATTTTCTTTATAGCTTACCTTTTGTGCTGCTACTTTTCCTGATTTCCCCCAGTGCCCCATTCGCCCACCAAAGCCCTTTGCTGAAGCCTGGTGATTGGCTGCTCATGTGGCATGCACTGCACAGTGGGAGGAACAGGAGATCATTTTTGCCCTATACCCAGAACTGCCAGTTGTTTCCAAGAGCTCAGGCTGGAGAACTAGGTGTTGGGGTGATGTGAGGAAGGTAGATATTACAGAAAGTGGGCTATAAAGAGAACTTGAGTGGAGAACCATTGATGCATGGTGTTTATTGCACATCGTTTCTTTTCTCTGTAGGCCACAGGTGGAGGTTATGAGAGTGAAGACGCTTACCCCTTTGCAGAACTAGTGTTCTTGGACATACACAACATTCATGTGATGAGGGAATCTCTGAAGAAACTGAAAGATATTGTCTTTCCACAAGTAGAAGAGTCTCACTGGCTGTCAAGCTTGGAGTCCACACACTGGCTGGAGCATATTAAGGTGAAATTGTGGATATGTTTTTACATGTTTACCTTTCAGTGTCAAAACGGAATTATTTACAAGTTAAGATTTGATGTTTAATGGGGAATAACTAGGAAATAATAGAGTAGAGCACAAAGGCAAAATAGATTTTTCAAACTGAAAATTCTGCAAGGACTTTGTTCTTCTTACTGTGGCATGCTGTGGATGGTGGTTTGTGTACAGCTGGATATGAGTTGTGCAGCATCTGCCTTTCATTTTCCAATATCTCCTTGTAAAGTTTATTAGGTCTAAGTCATACCCTGAAAAATCTGTCTCTTACACTTCCTGATGTGACATTGCCACTCCGGTTTCTGTAGCCTCATAGCTACATATCCAAAAAGCAGGGGGTAGGCAAACGCCGGCCCTCGAGCTGTGGTGAAACTACAAATCCAATCAATCATCAGGCGCTTGGAGTCATGCCTGTGAGAATCTTGCAATGCCTCATGGGATTTGTAGTTCCACAACAGATGGAGGGCTGGAGTTTGACCACCTCTGCTGCAGAGTATTATTCTCTAAGGCACAGCATAGAAAGAAACATGGTACTTTGGGGAAAATCAGCTGCAGGACCAGCTGCAGGGAAATTACAGCCAATACTGACAGCTAGTTCTAGACCTTCTGCTTGACCTTATTTTGGGCAAAACTTCCACATTATATGACCATAGCGCTGCAAAGCAATGGTGCATGCTGTAATAAGTCATTAGGTAATGCATACTTTCCAAGGAAGAGAATTGTGTCTGTTTTTATAGCAACTTTCTTGGCTGTAATATGTTTGTCATTATTGTTAGGGAAACTGACTTTTTTTTTTGTATATGGTATTATTACAAAGGAGATTTTATGTCAGCCATATTAAAAGTGGTCATTAGAGAGATTAAGGGAAAGCTCTTAAGAAACCTTGTATCTGTAAAGAAAGAGAATGCTTACCTCAGCCAGTCGCACCCCTGAACCCCGCTTCATTGATGAGGAATGATCTCCCAATGTCTGGTAGGAAACAACCACTTTCAGGAGTATCAGTCTCGTGTCCCTCGCAGCCCTACAGCTGGTCATACACCTATACATTTTTTATGGTCAGATGAAAATAGTGCAGCAGATTCCTCCAGCTACACTAAACTGTGTGGATGGAGGAATCTCCCACTGGGCCAAGCTTCAGTATCTTGCTAGTCGGCCCCGTTGACTCTCAAATACCTGAACAATGCCTGCATCTAATCAGATTGTTCAGGTATTTTGAGAGCTAGCAGGGCTGGCTAGCTAGAAGCTTGGCCCAGTGGGAGATTCCTCCATTCACGCAGTTTAGTGTAAATGGAAGAATCTGTTGCACCTTTTCCATCGGACCGCAGATAATCTATAGGTGTATGGCCAGCTTTACTGGTTATTCCTGTCGACCTCCACTCCCGGAAGTGTCTGTTTTTTCAGCAGACTTCAGGGGACAGTTCCTCACTATCAGTCTGCATGTGGCCAAGCAGCAGCAGGAGAGGCAAATATTTATTTTCTACTTTACAGGTACGTTGTTTGTAGAATTCTTTCCCCTTGACAGGGTCATTTTAGTGGTACTGCTTACATCCTAGTGCACTCGCTACACATGGTTTCCAGAAGGTTCCCTCCAACCACCAAGCACTCTTCTGACAGTGGGGTTGAAAGGATGTAGTGAGCTGCACACAAGCAAAGCAGAAAGTGTTCACCCAGTGATCAGCAGCGTGAGCCCAAAGGCTGCTAGGAAAGCACATGCATGATGCAGTGGGGGATTCATGAAAACTGGAGCAGTTACCCATGGCAACCAATCCTTCATTTTCACAATTATATTTAGTGCCCTACCTGTGCTATATATTTAGCAAATTCCTTTTTCCACTGCTGTGGGGCCTGTCCAGTACTGCACGCCCTGTATACCAAAATTGTCACAGTTAACCACCGCGCCTGTATTGCCTTAACTTCGGCATTTTCCTGAGGTGAATTATCAGCAGGTTGCTGGGCTGCAGACAGGCTTTCCATTTCAGTGACTAAGGTTCAGGCTACGCATACATAAGGTGTGCGCTAGCTGACTGGGAAGATTTTGGCACTCCAAACAGCAAAGACCTGTGAATGGATATTTGAGAAGTCTACCGTATTTTGAAAACAAAATAGCATCAGGAGTGGGGCCCAGTATGGTAAAGTACACTATAGAAATGATTATGTTTTATTTACCTTCCTTCTCTTTACCATTATATCATTATTTTGGTCTATGTGCAAACCCCTTTACTCCCAGATTTGGTTTTTGGGTGATAGGGTAAGAAACGTGATCCTGGATTGTGCAATATATGAGCAGTTGTTTGCCTTATAAAACAAATACATAATTCATGTCTGCAAAGCGTTGTGTGTTTATTGATTAGTGTCTTACAATGTACCTGCTTTTGTTGGTGTTCTGCATTCTAGAGAAATGATGACAGCTAGACGGCTTTACTGTGCTCACTGTAAATCCAACAGCACATTATATTATAGTATTGACTGTTTCCAGATGCTGTGTAAAAATGATCTTATAAATTTTTACCTTTTTTATATTGGCTCTGATAAAAATTTTATTTGTTCAGTTGGTTTTAACAGGAGCCATTCAGGTGGCAGATAAAGTAGCTTCTGGAAAGAGCTCGGTGGTTGTGCATTGCAGCGATGGCTGGGACAGGACAGCCCAGCTCACCTCTCTGGCCATGCTGATGCTGGACAGCTACTACAGGACCATCACTGGCTTTGAAGTGTTAATACAAAAGGAGTGGATTAGCTTTGGACACAAGTTTGGATCAGTGGGTATCTTAAAGAGGAATGATGTGTGCTGTCTGTCTGCCATGGCTGTATTTATAGAGGTTGACAACTGTTTATATGGGCTCTGTCCGTTGTCTGGGCATCCACTTTATGTGATCAGAGATTTAAAAATTGAATTCCGATTCGAGACAATATACTGTCTGATTTTTATATGCGGCACTAACAGACTGTACAGTAATCACAAGGCTGAAGAGAAAAATGGCATGGGTGCATGTCACTGCAAAGAACCATTAAACTGCCCATAGCATCTATATAATATCCTCCTAAAGTTCTGCTGCTGCAACTATTGAGAACTCTTTAGCTTACAGACAGGGAAAACTGTACATGTTGTATTTTTGGTTCTGCCATCTATTACCCTGCATCCTTAAGCACAGCAAATTTGTTTTATTGTAAATGTGGACATGTTCCAGGCTGTGAAATTATTTGGTAAAGACCCCTACAGACTCCCAAGTCTTTAGTCCACCCATCACTTGGAAAAAACAGTGACTCTTTTGGAGGAGTGGGGATAGGGCCAAGATACTCCTATAAAAATTGAGATGTGAAGGAAACGCCAGCTTTCTGTATGTGGAGACCATGCATACGGTTTTCACTAAAGGTAACTTCATTCTGGTTAAACTGCCCAAGTTTGTGACAGGTTTACTTTAAAGTGTATATTCATTCAGCCAAATTGAAATGAACACCTATGTGGAAATACACTGCAACTCTCTGTACTAAATAATCTCAAAAGGGAAGTTAAATAGCATTCTACTGCTTCAAAATAGTTTAAGACATTGTAATTAAAGGCTGCTGCGATCGTCCTTGTATGTTTGGGCTTGTTTGTAAATTGTTCTTTTTATCCCTCTGCTAGATCAGCTTGATGGTTAAACATCTGATGTCATCTTATTTCATTCTAGAGAATTGGACATGGTGATAAGAACCATGCTGATGCTGACAGATCCCCGATCTTCCTCCAGTTTATTGACTGTGTGTGGCAGATGTCAAAGCAGGTAATTGTGGAGATACATTAATGTGCACCAATTCAGTACATTAGTCATCACTGTGATTCTTTGTGCAGGCAGTTTCAGACAACGTTTA